CGACGATCCTTTTTCCAGGACATGAAGTTTGTAGCCGAGAACATTTTCGGCTGAAATTTGACGGGGCTTTTCTCCTTAACCGAAGAGGTCAAACACGAGTACAGGAAAGACGTAATGGTACCCAGCTCATCATCGAGATCCACATGGTCAGCGTATTAGACACGGTGGTGTGGGTGTCCGCCAATTCCTTTGTTCTAGTTGCTGTGGCTTGAAATTACATCGGAAAGCCCTCTTTGAGAAAATGGCGTGTGCAGGAGGGTACAGTTTCGACGGTGCCCTCCACAACGGCATGGATCATGTTGGTGGGTGAAAGGAGCTTACAGATGACTCCCATAAGCTGATCCATTGAGGTTGAAACAACTGCACAATGCTTCTTGGTTTTCACTGTGGATTGGTTTCACTGACAAGACGAAATCTCAGCTGAAAATGACAAAGTCTCCTCGCACTCAGCTTTTGTCTTTTTCTGTATTTCCAGGGACACGAAGTTTCTCCACAACAATTTCTCATTTTGCCCCCTCATCTCCGACTACTTTTGAGGTCCCTTATTCGTGTTTATGCGATAGTCCCGCTGTAGGGGTAGTCATGAGATGCTAATGCACACTTGTTTGTTCTGTTGCCATCTACATATTTATTTATCCTCAAAACTTTCTAGTCTCGACCGTACCCTCAGTGCACTGCTGTCAAACGGCTGCCACTGGTTTGACGTTACCGAGGTAACCGTCATCCATTCAGATATGATCTGTCGTTGCTATTTATAGTATTTATGTTTTTGTCGCAGTTACCAAGTCGGCTTTTTGAAATGTATTGTCAAGTAACCTGGAGACAGCTGTCTGCCCAGGACACACTATCATCATGTGCCACACAGTCAACCTGAGAACGAGACAAATAATTACCCATTGCTGATATTCCAGTGGGTATGGACGGGGATTAATCGTGTTCTGGAGCCAAAAAGTGCTTCAAATCGTCCATGAATCACACCAACAACTTGCCGAATAGAAGTGGCGTAGTGCTTGAGAGGAGGCGTTGCCTATCGCTATGGTTTATCCCATTGAACTGCTGTCTGACATCATCTTCATCATCATTGTCAGCTGTAATAACCACGTACTTGTCGTACAGTTGTTGTAGCTGCCACCGTTTCGTTCACCGATGATT